TGATTCTCATCGATGTTTCTCTCTCTCTGAAATCAATAAAAATATATCTCCCTTCCTCTCTGAAATCAATAAAAAAAAATATTTTTAAAAAGCCTCCACCAGGTGACTGGAGAGGTGGAGTGGGCTCAGCCTGGTTTAGGATTTGGGTTTGAAAGATGGGGGTGAGCCATCTCTGTTCCTCCTGCTCTTTGAACTGCCAGGCTCTGCAGATGGGCTTGGTGGCCTGAATGGAGGTGACAGAGAGGAACTCAGGAAACCTCGATCATGGCTACATGGTGATGATGGGATCTCTGGAGCAGGACCCTGGGGGTCCAAGCAACCAGACCAAGGACATGGACGGGGGAGGTGTCTGGGAAGCTTTGGCCGGGGCTGGGGGCGCGGTTGAGGCAGGAACCCCCGCCCACCCCCGCGTGGCCTGGGCACGGCAGGAGGGGGCGCCCGCGGCCCTCCCGGCGCTCGGGAGGGACAAAGGCTGGAGCCCCGGCCCCTCCTCGGCGGGTGCGGTGGCGGCGACGGCGGCCCGTGCTCCGAGAGTCCGCGCGGCCGGGCCGGCGCCCGGGGCGACCCCGGCGCCCCGCCCGCCGCCGCCTGACTTCTCGGCGCCCGAGGTCGTGCGCGCCCAGGCTGGGGTGGCCGGGGATCTCGAAGCGCCGGCGCGCCCTCCTCCCGCCCGCCTGCTCCGCGGCGGCGGCGGCAGCAGAGGAGGCGGAGACGGCTGGCAGGCGGCGGCCAGGCGAGAGCGGCGGCCGGACCCGGGCCATGGCGCCCGCGCAGCGCCCGCTGCTGCCTGTGCTACTTCTGCTGCTCCTGCCGCCGCCGCCGCCGCTGCCCTTAGCGCGCGCTGAGGACGCCTCCCGAGCCAACTCGGACCGCTACGCAGTCTACTGGAACCGCAGCAACCCCAGGTGAGCACGGGTGGGAACGGGGCGCTGGGGGACCCCAGATGCCCTCCCCCCGGGCCCGGCCTCCCCACCCTGAGCTTGGGTGTCCCGTCCTCCAAACTCGCTGTTTCTGGAGTGGAGGGTGCCCGGTCCCCGGGGAGCCCCCAGGGAGTCCCGGCACCCCCGGAGTTTGGGGTACTCGTGCTACTCATGCATTCCCCTTCCAGGGTGCCCCACTGCCATGCAGTCTTGGGGACTTGCGCCTGCATGTCCCAGAGCGCCGCCATCCCCAGGAGTTTGGGGATCCCCTCTGGCATCCTCAGAAGCTGTGCAGCTTCCTAAGTTCCTTTCCAGACTTGGGGGACTCCATCCCTTGAGGCTCTCCAGGGAAGGTAACCCCCTTTCAGAGTTGGTGGGGCTCCCTCGGGACCTTGGCACTGAGCTGCACCTGGAGATGGGGGACCTTGGCCTCCTGGGACCACAGGTACATCCTGCCAGCAGGTCCCCAGTATAACTTGAGGAAGTTGGAATGTACTTTCCTACTGACCCAGGTCCACCTGCACTTTAGGGTTTCAGGTCCAAACTTTGTAGGTCAGGGGAGACTGAGGTACCTATGGAGCTGGGGGTCAGTCCCAGGAGTCTTGACGGGTAATACCCTTGCCAATCCTAGTGTTTGATGGGAGAAACTGAGGGGCAAAGGGGATGAGCAGCTGGCTCAAGGTCAGGCAAGGGAGCAGAGCTGGGGCAGGGACCCAGGTGGGCTCTTTCCTAGCCTGCCGAGGTGCCAACGCCTGCCTGCCTGCCTGCCTGCACAACCTCCTCAGTGCTGGGTGCTGAGTAGAATCTGGGGGGCAGCAAAGTGAGAACATGAGAAAAGTTTGCTGGTAACTGACCACATCCTGGACATAGCAGAAGCCTCTCTCTGGGCTGGCCCTGAGTCTTGAAGGCTGGAGTAGTCTAGGGGTCCCATGGAGATAGGGCTCCAAGGTCCCATGGCTTTATTACCAGCTTCAGCACTCATGGTCGCTTTCCCATGGCGGCAGGGCTGTACATGGGGGTCTTAGGTGGCCAGCCTCCCAGCTCCCTGCCCCTCTGCCACTGATCACTTTCTCATTTCCAATTCCTGCCGTGTGCCTTTCTAAGCCTGCCGTCCCCCCACTGTTCCCTGCTGTCCTCAAGTCTTTGGGCCGAAAGTTGCATAAAGGGCAGTCTTTGAGGCAGGCTGTGGGACAAGGGTGGCCAGTGTCCGCCGTGGGGGCAGGGAGTACGCCCAGACACTCCCCTCAGTTGCCCAGCTGCAGGGTCGGACCCTGGAGCACAGGATAGAGACCCCATGCCAAGGAGGGCTGGCCAGGCCACCTTGGACCCCTTCCCCTTATCACTGGCCCCGCTGGTCACATGTGGGTTTGATTATGGTTATTCCCTGAAGCTGGCTGAGCAGGGAGCCCAGCAGGCAGTGCTTCCCGGCCCAAGTTTTTGGTTACGGCTCCAAAATCCCTGTCCCTGTCATGGCCTGTCCTTTGTTCTAGCAAATGCCAAACACATGAGGAGCTGCAGACAAACCAGGACGAACCAGGGTGAACTGGGACAGATGGGGGTCATTGGGGCAGCCCTCTGCCCATTCTGCCACAGGGCTGTGGTGCTGGCAGGATCCTGCCAGGGAAAGGAGGTGCCCAGTCCTGGCTCTGCTGCCACTTGGTCACCACTGTTGCTGACCCAACAGCCCCACTCTGAGGAGCCGCCTAAGGGGATGGCCTTGCTTGTCTGGTGCAGACCCTGGCCGGCATACCTTTCTCACCTCCCTCTCGTCCTCCTGCCTGGGGTGTCCCAGGTGGGAGGTGACCCCCCCCTGACAGCTTGTGATGGGGCTGGGGGTTGGATGGGACCAGATCGGGACTCCATTCATTGCTGAAGTTGGGAGCTCTTCCAAAGGGGACCTTGGTGCCTGGGAACCCCTTGGGAGGTTTAGTGCCCAGGGGTGGCTGGACTGGAACCTGTGCCCAGTAATGGGGTATCTCAGAAGGAAGGGTGGTGCTGGGCCACCGGGTCTGAGGGCACCCAGGAATGCAACTTTCCCAAGGGCACCCAGTCCAGGGACCACAGCCTGGGGAGGGGCACAGGGTTGGAGAGCAGGCCTGAAGAGTGAGGTAGTCCCAGGAACAGAGATGAGAGACAGGCCTGGTTGGAAGAGCCAAGGATGGGGTCAAATCAGAGAGATTGGTGGCTGTGGCAGGCTGAGGAGACAGAAACGAGAAGAGGGGGTGGGGTCACTGAGCCTGAAAGAGGCACACACAAAAGGCACTGTGAGGAAGGGGACAGAGCTAGGGCTGGGCAGCTCGAGGCGGGGACAGACAGGCAGAAGAGCAGAGCATGAGCGGTGGCTGTGCTCAGGTGGAGATGGACAGGCACTGGTGGCATTGCGGTGAGGCCAGCTGCCCTTGCATGGCTGGGCCTGGTACCTGCACTGAGGTAGTCAGTGTGTAGCTTTTTCCCAAGTTATGTTCTCCTGCTGTGCAGATATTTCCTTTGGCCTGCGGACTTCGCAGAAGAGGGAGCGTCGCACCTACCTCTACTGCTGTCGTAGGGTGGGGTCCTGTCGCCAGTCCAGCCACCCTCCCATGGCACCCCCACCAGCTGCTGTCCATTGCTGGTGTCTCTGAGCCTGTCCCCAGCTGGGTTGCACTGGGCCAGGGTCCTGGGCCAGCTGCCCTCACCTGGCCTGGCCATTGACCGAATGTGGGCCTACGTGCACATTTGTGCACATGGTGGGTGCAGGGGCTGCAGGATGTGTTTGTATGTGTTGAGGTGTGTTCTTGTTCCTGACATACAGGGGGTCCTAGGGACCCCGGGAGGTGCATGTCTGTGTGGCAGGGTGATACATGTGCCTACCTATGTATGGCGGCCCTGGCTTGTTTGCACATGTGTCTATGTGATTATGCCCAGAGTGCACACGTGTGGAGAGTGTATCGCACATTTGCAGGAGTGTGTCTGTGTGTGGAATGTGTGCGGTGTCTGGGGGTACAGATGCCTATCTGCATGTGCATATTTGTGCATGGAGAGAATGTATGTGTTTGTGTGTGGTGTGCACATGTGTGTCTTTAGTGTGTCTGTTTGTGGAGAGCACATGTGTGTCTGCATGTACAGTCTGGCTCTGGCTGTCCCAGGGCCTCACTGATGGTGGCACAGTATGCTTCCCTGCCCACCCTTCACCTCCTCTTTGGGCCAGGTGGGTCCCTGCTGATCCCTCGGGTCCCATGCTGCCTGTGGTGTAGAGCAGCAGTCACCAACCTTTCGGACCTCACGGACCACCAGTGGTCTGTAGACCACAGGTTGGCGGCCACTGGTGTAGAGGGTTCCATTGAGGTTGACAGCGGGTACCATGCAGGGTACCTGCCAACCCTCATACTCCCCACTTGACTGGAACACCTCAGCCAGACTGGACCCAGCCTTGCCAACCTGGGTGGGGGCTCTGGGCTTAGTCCCTACCCCTACCAGGCATCTCGGGCTTTTGCCACCCTCCCCTGGCCCTCCAGATTACCCACATTTCCTCTCAAATGGCCTGGTGGGAAATGTGGGTTTGGGGAGGATGTTCCTGTGGTGTAGGTGTGGGGCCTCTATCCCAATCCCCATCCCTGCTGGCCTTGCCTGGGCTTCTGGGGGAGGTGGCTCTGAAGGGGCAATGCTGTATTTTGCCGCATGAGGCTCTTTTGTTTTGTTTGAAAGAAACTCACCCTCTGAGGCTTGCGGGGCTTGGAGAGCGAGATCGATGGGTCTGGGGGCCTGGGGCCAGAAGGTGGGGTCCAGTAGGCGTGGGAGGATCTGGACTTGGATTTATGGATCCTAGAACCCTAGGTGTGATCTCAGGTGGGCAGCTTGGCTGCTCTGAACCTGTGTCTCCTCCATGAAGTCGGGGCTGGCAGGCTATGCCCCTCAGCAGATGGCAGTAGGAGTCTTTTTTAAAAAATATATTTGTATTGATTCAGAGAGGAAGGGAGAGGGAGAGAGAGATAGAAACATCAGTGATGAGAGAGAATCATTGATCAGCTGCCTTCTGCATGACCCCTACTGGGGATTGAGCCTGCAACCCAGGCATGTGCCCTTGACCGGAATCGAACCCGGGACCCTTCAGTCCGCAGGCCGACGCTCTGTCAACTGAGCCAAACCAGCTAGGGCATGTAGTAGGAGTCTTAAGGGGCACAGAGAGGAGAAACCGAGGCAGTCCCTGTGGGCAACAGGAGGGGCCCGCAGGCCCCCAAATCCACAATGATAGTGATGTTCCAGGAATAGGTGACATGGCCAGCCATGCCCCACCTGGGAGGGAGTGACTCAAAACTGCTCCATTCAGCCCTCTTGCACTGCTGTCCCCACCATGCTGCTCCCATCCTAGATTGATGTGTGAGCACAAATCAGACTGAACTTGGCGGCCAGCCAGACCCCGCTACAGGTGCACACGCCTGTCCCTGCACCCACCTGGCTATTGTAGGCACTTGGTCTCCCATGCCTCAGTCTCCCTGTCAACCCAAGGATGTTGGCTTCAAAGGGCTTAATTCACTGCACAGGTCAAGTTGCCCCCTCGCCCAGCCCACACCCCAGCCATGCAGCCCCCTAACCCACCCACCCTGTGCCTCCATTTCACAGACCCAGATTGAGTCATCCAAGGGCAGGGGGAAGCCGGGCTCAATTGGGCATCACCCCTCTCCAAGAGGCAACCGGGTCTGGGGCTGGCCAAGGAGTGTCAGAGACACTGCGTGCATTCTGGGGAAGACAGGCCTATGCATCTGGGCCATGTCTTACTGAGACTGAGGCCCAGGGCTAGAGCTGATTCTGTGTCCCCTCCCCACCTATTGTGCCCACCCTGTACTCAGTGAATCCCCTGCACCCAAAAGGCCATACATGTTGTGTCCAACCCTGCATTACTTGGGGCCCTGATTTCCCCTGAGGTCCCACCCAGCCGCCCAGCCCTGGTGGCCAGGCCTCAGATGGAGAAATGTCTTCTTGGCCCATGGAAAGCCTAGGGGTGGGCACTGAGGCCTTAGGGACCTCACTGGGAGCAGCAGGCAGGGACAAGTGGGCTCTGCCCCACTAGGTTGCCAGATGGGCACCCAGGGCCTGGGTGTGCTACCCACCTCACCAGAGCCTCAGCTTCCAGTCTGGGAAGTACCCCCACCATTTTGGGTGAGATCCTTAATTAGTTGCTTTGCTATTAGCTCCTAATGACTTGACAATTGCCCAATTGGAGCTAATTAGCAGCTTGCCAGGTGGTTGCAGAGAGGGGGCAGTTGGCAAGGTTGGGGTGGCCATGAAGGGCAGGACAGGGAGCCCTGGTCAGTGAGGGATCACCCAGGGCTGGGAGGGCTGCCTAGAGGAGCAGACTTTGGCAGGGTGATCTAGATGGGGGCAAAGGTGTGGCTGGTGGGGGTGGGGATGGGAGCAGGAGGTCTGAAAGCCTGGGGAACCCTCTACCTAGGAAAGATCCCAACTCAGTCACTAACTCCTTGGTGAGAATTTCTGCTCTATCTGCTGCAACCACAGAGTATTTTCGTTTCAAGCCAAGGCCCCAGTGGAGGAAATGAAGGCTTTGTATTGCATGCACCAGGCACTGGGCCCCAGGCTCAATTTTGGGGCTGGGCCTCTCTAACACCTAAACAGGGGTGAGGCGCCTGCCCTTGGCTTGCTACCCAACTTGGAACTGGGAATTGTGTGTGTGTGTGTGTGTGTGTGTGTGTGTGTGTGAATCCTTACCTGAGGATATCTTTTCCCATTGATTTTTAGAGAGCATGGACGGGAGGGGGAGAATTAGAGAGAAGCATTGATGTGATTCAAATCGATTGGTTGCCTCCTATACTTGCCCCACCCATGCCCCAACTGGTGCCAGAGAAGGAGCCTGCAACTGAGGTATGTGCCCTTGACCGGCATCAAACCCACCATCCTTTAGTCCAAGGACCATAGCTCTATAGAGCCAAACCAGCTAGGGCTGTCACTATTTTAAATCCAGGAAGGGGAAAAATGGCCCATTTAAGGGGGCTGGGGGTGGGGCTTCGCCTGGGACTCGCCTCTTTTCCCCATGTGGGGGCCACTTTTTGCTCTCCAAGACTCTAACACCTTGAATCCTTGGCCTTTGTTTGCTCAACAAATATGTATTAAGCACCAAATATGTATAAGGTCTGTATGGGTCACCAGGAAGGAGCGGAAAAGGAGGCCAACCCTCATTGTCCAGGAGGGCAGACAGTGGACTATGTAGAGGTAAAACTATGATGATATCGTAATGAGATACATGATAAGGTTGGGGAGGCAGGGGAAAGCATTCCAGGCAGAGAGATGAGTGTGTGCAACAGCCTGGGGTGGGAACAGGAACAGCCAAGAGGCTGGTGTGGCTGGAAGGCAGGCAGAGGGTGATAAGGGGGCGTGTGTCAGGGCCACACGGGCCTGGTGGCCCTGGGAGGGCAGTTTGATTCTGAGCAGTGGAGAGAGTTTTGAGCCATTGGATCACAGAGTCCGACTGACATTCAGAAAAGAGCCCTGGGTTTTGGGAGACAAGGAGACGGGCTGACCTGGTGGGGTACAGATGTCTGGCTTCTGAGCCAGCAAAGAAAGCAGCCTTGGTCTCTAATGCTTTTCAGAAGGTGAAGAGAGAATGATGGTAGCATCTGGTGCAGTGGGAGGGAGGGGGTCAAACGTAACGGGGGACACAGGCAGAGGTGGAGGGGGAAGAAAGGGTCACGCTGTGGCCCCACTTTCCCAAGTCCATTCTGGTCTCAAGAAAGCCCAGCAGAAAGCCAGGCTCTCTTTCAGGCTATGTGTGCATCCCCGGGCATTGTGCCAGGGACAGGAAGGGGAACTGAGGCCCAGAGGTGTTGGGGGCCAGGATGGCAGCCCTTCCAGCCTGGCACCCCCTCCTTACTCCTCTACAGGGCCCTGCATAGGTACTAGCCAGTCCCCAAGTGGGTGCTTGGCTGCCTGCCGCTGCCATCGATTGGCTGATCAATGGGGCTTTCAGTGGGGCCAGGAAGGAGTGAAAATGACTCTTCAAAAAGCCTGGAGCAGCTTCTGCATCAATCAAGCCCAAGGGGCTGAAGGACAGACAAGGCCTGGATAGCCTTGGGGCAGCCTGCGGGATGGGCAGAGTTCAAGGCTGACCCTGTCTCAGCCTGACCCTGGTCCCAACCTGATCCCCCTTCCTGAGGCTAGCTGCCAGACACATTTATTCTACAAAAGCCTTCCCACCTCTCTGGAGGTGGAATGAGTTCCCGATCCCTGGACAAACCCAATAGAATGGGGAAGAGGCTGGGGAGAATCTGCTCCTTCCTGTTCCCAGAACTGAAATTCTGGGAGCCTGGATCTTAGTGACAGACTTGAAATCACTGCTGTAGTGATGGATGGGGAAGCTGAGGCACAAGTGAGCAGGGTCTTCTGCCTGCCTCATTCCCACTTCTGGGGGGGTCCTGCCCCTACCATCTGATAATTCTGTTGCCCCCTCAGGTGCCAGCTGTGCCAATTAGTGCTCCTGGCATGGGGGTCACATAGAGCTCCCTCCCACGGGCTGGGGCTGTTAGCAGGGTGAGCACAGAGAGTGGCGGGCTGGAATCCCAGCAGCTTGCACCCTCCCTGCTGCCCACCCTTTTTCCTTGCCTATACAGGGAGGAAGAAGATGGCTGCCTGGGGGAGCCTACACTCTAAGCACGGTGCTTAGGCTTTTAATGTGCTAATAAGCCCCTCTTGGGAGGCCCCCCTGTTGTCTCCTTCTGCATTTACATGACAGGGACCCTGGGGACCATGTCTGGAAGATCTAAGAGCTTCTGGTGCTGTAACCCAAGGTGGTGATGGAAGGGGAGCTGCCCGTCTCTGGCTCAGCTGACCTCCATCCTCCCAAGACAAGGCTGGGTCAAGAGGGCCTTCAGCGGCAAGTCTAAAGGGACCTCCCTGGCAAGACCGGGAGTCCGGGCTGGGAGGCGGAGGTGTCATGGGTCGGGGAACCGGGAGTACTGACCAGGAGCTTGGGGGGCAGCTGCCTGACCCTGAGGCTCCGATCTGGGGTCACACGGGACGGAAGGGGTAGGGCTGGGCTTCACTCCGCCCCACCACCTGCGGGGACACTGAGGCAGAGCTTGCCCGGAGGAGGCCAGAACTCCGGGCCTGTGTCCCCACGCCACCTTGGGCCTTCCTGACCGGCGGATCTGCAGGAGGAGAGCCAAGGAAGCTGCATCTGATGGGCAGGATGGGGGGTTATCTGGAGGAGGGGGTGTCGAAGTCAAGCCGTAATAACGTTTCTGGAGAAGGACTTCCTGGTGGGGGAGCAGCTTGTGTGGAGCCTGTTTGCCAAGAGGGGCCCAGATGTTGGGCCTGCGGGGTGGGGATGGGGGTGGTGTGTGTGTGTGTGTGTGTGTGTGTGTGTGTGTGTGTGTAGACGATTCCGAATCACTTGGTACTTGCTCGTTTGCATGTTGCCCTGAATGCGGTCCCTCCCCCTCAGCTCCAACCACGTTGAGGCCACGGGCTCAGGCGCCTGCCAGCTGACCGGTCTGCCGGGCCAGGGACTTGCAGGGTGGGGCGTGGGTGCCAGACCGGGGACCGTGGGCTCGCACCCTCGAACCTTTCTCAGCTTCCGCCTAGCGGTCTCCTAAGACCGCCCCAACCCCGTGCTGGTCACACCCCCGCGCAGACCACACCCCTCGCGTTTCCATCCCTCGCCCCCGCCCCCGCTTTGGCAGTCCCCTCAACTCATCCCGGACCACGGTCTGCTATCGGGCCCCGCCCAAGCTCACCGCCGGCCCCCCATCCAGGTTCCACGCGGGTGCGGCGGACGACCGCGGGGGCTACACGGTGGAGGTGAGCATCAACGACTACCTGGACATCTACTGCCCGCACTACGGGGCGCCGCTGCCTCCGGCGGAGCGCATGGAGCACTACGTGCTGTACATGGTCAACGGCGAGGGCCACGCCTCCTGCGACCACCGGCAGCGCGGCTTCAAGCGCTGGGAGTGCAACCGGCCCGCAGCGCCCGGGGGGCCGCTCAAGTTCTCCGAGAAGTTCCAGCTCTTCACGCCCTTCTCGCTGGGCTTCGAGTTCCGCCCGGGCCACGAGTATTACTACATCTGTGAGTGGGCGGGGGGCCGGGAAACGGGAGAGGCGGGGGGGGGGGGGGGGGGGGAGGCGGGGTGTGTCGAAAGCCAGGAGGGGGCGAGGGCCTGGGGTGGGGGGCCAGGGCGTGGTTTCGGCCCCGCTCCTTGTCCCGCACTGGCCTCTGTCCTGGGGTGGGGGTCAGCCTCTTGGGTGGGCTCGTTATCCTCCCAGCAAGCCCTGGAGGCCCACTGTCAGAGCCCCCATTTTGCAGATTGGGAAACTGAGGCTCAGAGTGCGGCGGAGAACATAGATATATAACCTCAGTCTCAAGATCAGCACTGGACCTCTGTTCTGGGGGAGCCGATGACCCAACCATCAGTCTGTCCCACACTGAGACCAACGCTGCCCACCCCCCAAAGCACTGAGGGGGTAAACTGAGGCATACTGAGTCTAGTGGGAGAGTGGAGCTTGGTCAAAGCCAGGGGAGAGAGCAGAGCCCTTGTTCTGCCCAGTACATCCTGTTTTGGGCAGGGATCCCCCTGGCCCTACCCCTGCCACACCATCCAACCCCTGCTGCGGGAAAGGGACCCAGCTCCTCAATATTCCGGCTCCTGTTGTGTCAAATTAAACTTCACAAGGCCCCCTCTCCTCCTTTTCTGCTCTGTTTGGACTTTTTAATTCAGGGAAGAAAGGGATGGAGGCAGGGGGAAGAAAGTGTTTTTTTTTTTTGTTTTGTTTTTTTTTAAAAATATATTTTATTGATTTTTTACAGAGAGAAAGGGAGAGAGATAGAGAGTTAGAAACATCGATGAGAGAGAAACACCGATCAGCTGCCTCCTGCACATCTCCCACTGGGGACGTGCCCGCAACCCAGGTACATGCCCCCGACCGGAATCGAACCCGGGACCCTTCAGTCCGCAGGCCGACGCTCTATCCTCTGAGCCAAACCGGTTTTGGCAAGAAAGTGTTTATATTCAGTCCTGTAATATAAGAAAAATTACATTTTCTTTCTGAGATAGGAGTTTCATAAAGACGATCATTGTAATTATTTGTCCTGTCTCTGTGACAGATGTTATTTTTATTATCTGCTCTTTATCTTCATCTCCCAGAGTAAGGGGCTTCTGGGGGTTGGGGCAAAGGTGGCAGCCGAAGACAAGAGGACAGTCTGAGAGGACAGGTGGGGACAAGCCTGGCTATAGCTCTGGGTGCCCACAGCTGTTTACATGTGTGCTCCCTGCCAGCCCCCTCCCTTCTGATTCGTGGCTGAGCTGTGGCACCATCCCTTCCCCCCTCCAGGGCCCATGTCATGTTGGCCAGGAAGCAGGGATCAATAATGGTGACTTTTTAGGTGTGAGACCCCATGTATTTCCACGTGCATATGACCTCTGTAGTGGGGGCTCCAGGAGAAGTGGAATCAGCTCCCCTTCCAGGGTAACTGGCTTCTGTTGTCTCCCAGATGGAAATAATCATTTTCACAGTATCTCCTGTGTGCCAGCTGAAGCCCAGATAGGGGGTGATTTGTCAACAGTAACCCAGAGAGCAGGGATTTGCTCCCATGTTAATCATTTGGTTATACTGAGTTTTGGGTGGTCAATTGAAAACAAACATTTTTATCTATCACCTTTGAACCTTGCTCTGTACATGATGGAGCTAGACACAGACACCTCCAGTTTTGAGGCTAGAGTTCAGCAAAGAGAGGGTCAGGGGACATGTGCAGGAGGACTTCTGGGAAATAAGGGGGGCACTGTCTGGGGCTTTGATGTATGATTAGGAGTTTTATGGGTGGATCCCCACCTGGGGTCAAGGAAAGGGTACCAGCCTGGGGAAAGGGGTTACAGTGCTAGGAGGTCTTGGCCACCCAGACCCCTCTGCCCCACTAACTCACAACCCATTTCTTCTAGCTGCCACACCACCCAATGCTGTTGACCGGCCCTGCCTTCGGCTAAAGGTTTATGTGCGGCCAACCAGTAAGTACTCAGGGAGTCGGGCAGGGTCCAGGACACCCTTGTGTCCTCATTGAGAATCCACCGAGTGGCCAGTAGAGTCAGGGGATGATCACAACACAGCCTACGAAGTCCCACAACCTCAGCAAGGGCAGGCTCGCCCTTGAGCCTCAGTTTCCCCATCTGCGAATCAGGACATTTCAGACCTTCAAGAGTGAAGGTTGAAGCCCATTGCTAAGCACCTCACTGAGGCCATCACCCCCGGGTGTGGGTGTCAGGGAAGTTTCCTGAGATGGACCAAAGGGCCTGTGTTTTGAGCTCTTGAAACACCATAGCCACACCCAGAGACAAGGGGACTCCTGCAGCTCTCACCCGAGTGCCAGGGTTGAGACATTCAATGATCAGGTCTGGATAAGCCCTAGGGAGCAGATGGAGGGGTGGCCGCTTAGGGAGGGGACTGGGCTGCTGCTGACTGTTCCGTCTCCTTGTCCCCCAGACGAGACCCTGTATGAGGCCCCTGAGCCCATCTTCACCAGCAATAATTCGTGCAGCAGCCTGGGCAGCTGTCAGCTCTTCCTCAGCACTGTCCCGGTACTCTGGACCCTTCTGGGCTCCTAGTTCTGGCCCACACGATGCCGGCCCCACCTGGACGACCGAATCCAAGACCAAATAGAGACGCCTGGCTCTCCCTCAACTGGTGCTGCCCCCACCTCCAGGGGGTTTCTGCCTGCTCCAGAACCAGCCCCAATGACGGGGGACAGCCAACAGCCCCTGATGGCTGAGGGGCAGGGTGTCAGTACAGCCCCTGGCCAGAACATCTCCTCAGGGGCACTGGAGAACCTGAGAAACTATCAGCGATGTTGGTTTTTTTGTTTGTTTATTTTTCATGGTTGGATCAGAAAGGCTTGAATTTTTAATTTAATTTATTCCTTGCTGTCGCCAGTGACTTTGAAAGGAAACACATTAGTTTGTGGGGGTGGGGGTGGTGGTCCTTGGCCCCCTGGGGGATGGGGATGGGTAAACCCTAGTCTGGTTGCTCCATTTGTTGGGTCCTGGCTGGAGACCACTGCAGACCCCCCGGATGCCCCAGGACAGGCCAGTATGAGGCAGAAGGGTAAGGGTGAGACCCCTGGATTCTGGCCCAGGACTCTGAACCCACCTTAGATTCTCGTCCCCTCAGCCCCACTCTCCTCATGCCTGGTGACTGTCGCCCAGAGTGGAAACCCATGCTGTTTCACCAGAGGCCCCCGGAGTTCCGGCCACTCCGAACCACAGCTCCCCACTGTGTCCCACAGCCTCTCACCATCACCCCTGAGCCCAAGAAGACCTTACATGTCTGTAAATAGAGCCAGGAAGCATATACTGTGGTCTATTTTTACTGTATTCCTGAGGACGAACTGGACAGTTCCTTTTTTTCTCACATCTTCAGGGGGATCTTTTATTTTGGTGGGAGGGTGGGCGGACTTTTTAGAGTAGAAGCCACACTTTGCAATAAGCTTGTTCGTCTGTCAGAGCCCTCTTCCTCTACTCCGTGACTAATAATGTTTATAAGAAAAAAGAAAACAGGACACTACAAGATGGGGGGTGGACCTGCCAAAAAGAAACCCCCTCCCAAAGACACTTTAATGAAGCAAACAGCACATTTATACAGATTTCATATTTCTACCCACCTTTCCTGATCTGTGTTTTATATATATTATATATAAATATATATGGTGCACAGCTGCTGGGAGACCACCAGGCGTGCCAGCTGGGGGGGCCTTTTGTAAGGGTTGGCGTGGGTGGTGGTGTTGCCTCGCCTGGAGCTGGCGACAGGGCCTCCCCCCTCCCGTCACAATCAACTTTGGATTCTGTATTTTTTAATAATAAAATAAGCGTAAACCTCTAGCGTGTGCATCTGTGTTAGGCCGGTGACCCTCAGAGGAGTGCTTTGAGCTAGTAATTTGGGAGTCAGGTCCTTGCTAGGGAGGGGTGTCCTGAAAGGACATCTGGGGAGGATCGTGATTGGTTCTTTTGTTCTGTGCATCTTCTAGGCCGGCCCTAGAATAAGCATTTTGTGGGGCATTATATCCTTCCTTGCCACGCATGGGCCTTGGTTTCCTCCTTTTGAGAAATGGGAACAAGCCCCCTATCCCCCAGGGATCCCTGGGAGGATGGAGGGAGGACAGGAGGGGTCTGAGTATGCAGCAGGGGCTTATTAAGTGTCCCTTGGAGCACATGATGGGTTTCTTAGAAACCAAATTCTACCCCTGGCCATTTTGGCTCAGTGGATAGAGCATCAGCCCGAGGATTAAAGGTTCCCAGGTTTGATTCCAGTCAAGGGCTCGTACCTCGGTTGCAGGCTCCATTCCCGGTCAGGCCGCATGCGGGAGGCAACCAATTGATGTGTCTCTCTCACATTGATGTTTCTCTTCTCTCTCTGCCTCTCCCTCTCCCTTCCACTCTCTAAAAATCAACGGAAAAATATCCTCAGGTGAGGATTAACAAAAAACACACACAAAAAGAAACCAGGTTCTGTGACATCTCCATTACCAAGCTCTGTTGGTATGTGACTTAGTTTCACTAACTTCCCCAGGCCAGGGCAGGGGAGTTTGGCTTCTCTAAATCTCTTGCTGGTTTTGCAAAAGGCATGGTCAGCGGGTTGTGGAGTCCCAGGGGCCTTCTCCCCAGTTTAGGCCTGGACGGAGGCACATGGCTGGGGGCTACCCAGCAGGGCTGAGAGTCTGTGGTCTTTGAGGCTGCTCATGCCCTGGTGCTGTTCCTGGGACTGCAGTGTCTTGGGTATAGTTTGCCGAGAGGGAAGGCTCTCAGCTAATGAATTTGGCCGTGCTGAGCTCGGTGACAGGGGCTGCCTCTTAATGAGGCCAACAAACAGCACAAAGACCCCTGTGTGTTCCCTGCCTGCCCCCCGCACAGTGGCAGCGGATGGAGTGTGTGAGTACCATGAGGGGGAACCCAGGGTCCCCACCACACAGTGAGGACCTCGAGGCTCCAACCCAGCCACAGAGTCAGAGGGACCTAGAGGGAGAGAATTAAACGCAGGAATCATGGGGCTGAATCTTAGCAGTTGATTTTGATTTTGTTATTAAAATATATATATATATATATATATGAAACCCTAATATGCAAATAGACTGAACGGCAGAACAATCAGTCGCTATGATGTGCACTGACCACCAGGGGTTGCGTGCAGAACATGGCAGACATCGGCTGTGGTGGGATGGTGGAGCAGGTAAGTGGGGGTGCCAGACCAAGGCGGGGTGCTGGTCGCTATCATCGGGGTGAGCCTCTGTTGGTTAATGATAGTTCTTTGCTCCTGTGTGCCGCGGTCCCGCCCCAGGCACCCCCAGCGCTGGCCCCAATTGCTTGGTGCCATCAGGAGATGTGAGCAGTGGCTGCCAGCACCAATCACCCCTGAGGGCTTCTCCACCTCCCCCTGCCTCTGAGGGGCAATCAGGGCAGCGGCCGCCGATGGTGCGGGCCCCAATCGCTCTGCTGTCAGCGGGTGCGAGTGGGGCCAGGATGTCAGTGTGTGGGAGCGGTGGCAGTGGGAGCAGGGCTGCCGGCAAAGAGGGGACCAGGGGGCCGTGGCGGGAGGGGCCGGGCAGGGGCACGGAGGATGGGCCAAGACCCACCCTGTGCCCACCGCAGCCTCACAGCCCACAGTTCCTTTCAAGGTGCACGGATTCGTGCACTGGGCCCCTAGTTAGATATAATTTACATATCACACCATCCATTCATTTAAAGTACAACTTCATAACTTTTAGTATATTCACATGGTTGTGAAACGAGTACCCCTATGTAATTCCAGAACCTTCCATCACCCCTAAAAGAAACCTGTCCCCATCAGCAGTCACTCTCAGCCACTGACAACCATGAAGCCACTTTCTGTCTCTGGATTTGCCTGTCCCGAACATGTCACATGACTGGAATCCCACACCGTGTGGCCTTTTGTGTCTGACTTCCCTCACTGAGCATCATGTGTTCAAGGTCCATTTATGCTGTAGTGAGGTCAGCGCTTGGCTCCTTTTCATGGCTGAGGAGTATTCCAGTGTGCCGATGGGCCACTTTTGTTTATCTGTTCATTTGCTGAAGGCTTTTAGGTTGCTTCCACCTTTTAGCGATTCCAAGGATTTTTAAATTATTAGTTTTTTATTGTGTGTGTTAATCCTCACCTGAGGATCTTTTTTCCATTGATTTTTTTTTTTTTTTAGAGAGAATAGGAGGGAAGGTGGGAGTGAGGGAGTAGAGAGAGAGAGAGAAGAAAGAGAGAGAGAGAGAAACATCGATGTGAGAGAGACACATCAATTGGTTGTCTCCAAAATACACCCTGAGGTTCGAACCTGCAACCCTATGGTGTGTGGGCCGACACTCTAACCACTGTGCACACTGGCCAGGGCAGTATTACACATTTATAAATTGCAATAAGACAACCACTTATTATTTTTGAGACAGCTTTAGCGCAAAAAATTTCCTTGGAGGCTAAATACAGAAATAGCTGTGTTCCTGGCTCAGGGCCTTGGCTGTGCTCCCTGCCTGGTACATCACTGCCCGCCTCTCAGCTCCTTCAGATCAGGTCAGAGGTCACCTCTTGACCTCCCTGGCCAAGTGGCCACTCACCCCACACCCCTGGCTGTCAAATTTCTGATTCTTGTCCATCTCCCCCACCGGCTGGGAGCTCCCTGAGGGTAGAGACCTGGTCTGTTGGGGCATCACTGGGACCCAGTGCCTGGCCACAGTCTCCGCTCAGACTTGCCATTTGCCACACGTGCGGACATGCATACATACACATGTGTTGCACAACCCCAGACGCCAGACACATTTGGAGCCCAGGTTTCTCTAAAACCACTCCCGTCCCTCAGTGGCCGCTGATCATGGCCTCAGGGGCACCATCAGTGTGCAGGGTGGCTACTCACTCCCAGGCTGCATTGTGCAGAGCTGGGGCCCCCAGCCACACCCCAGCCATTGAAGGCCCGGGTGACCATCGGTTTGGGGCTGTCGGTATGTGGTCTCTGTGCGGAGCTCGTCCACCCTGGAGGTTCCAGAGGAAAGTTACTTCCCTCTCCCGGTGCCCCATCTTGGGCAGGGAATCCAGGAGGCGGGGCGGGGAGTCTGAGCTCGTCCTGCCCTTCTGGCTGTTCTTGTGGAGCCATGCCTCTCTCCTGGGCCCCCTCAGTTCATGGCCGTCTTAGTGTGGGGGCGGGACAGCCCCTCCGTCACAGGACAGGCGCCCCACAGCCCCTTCTCCAGCTCCGTCTCTGGGCCCCCAGTGTCCTGTCTATACCCCTGGGCCCTGTGCTTGGATCCCCCCACTGTGACCAGGAAGGAAGGGGTTCACCCCTCATTCCCAGGACTGGCTTTTAGGGGTGGGAACAGGCCCCTTGACCACAGCCACAGAACTGGAGGCCCCCATCCCCCCTCCCCCAACTCGGAGGAAAGGCCACAGTTCCAGCAGCTCCAGGCCTCCCACCTGTTCCTCCCAACATCTTCCTACTCTCGGGGAGGCTCCCACCTCCCAACTCCCGGCCTTTGCTCCAGCGGTGCCCCTGCCTGGACCCCTCACCTCCTTTCGGCTTTCCTCACATGCCCCCCTCAGACCCTCTTGCCTCCTCCATGGTTTTCTTCCCTGGCATTTATTCCTCAGCCCTCAGGCATGCCCCATATTTTCTTTATTTACCTCAGTTTCTTATGGTCGCCTCCTTTAGCCAGGCAGTCCCTGAGGGCAAGGATTTTGTCTGTCTTTGTCACTGCTATGTCCCCAGTTCCTAGAGCATGTCTGGTACACAGTAGTCGCTCACTAAATGCTTAAATGCATGAATGTTGTTATATATTTATGTGGAAGCTGCATGATCAGAAAAGAGAATTGCATTTCCTGTGTCAGTGTCAGCAACCCCAGCAAGCATCTACTGAGCGCCTACTGTGTGCAGTCAGTGATGGGCCCTCCCTCAGTCTGTGGCATCAGGGGGAGGATGGTGAGGCCTGCTCCAGTGGCCTCTGAGCACCATATTTGGGTGGCTTATGGGCCATGGGAAGAGACCACAGTGTTGGTGACCCTTGTCCAGGTTGCAGGTGGTTGGATGGCCATTAATGAACAAATAAAATGTGAGTTTTTGGCCTGGGGCCCCTGAGGAGCCATAAATCACCATGAAATGACTCACAAGCCAGAAATTAAGTGGCCCCAGCTGGGCTGGTGTGGTCGATGGGGCAGAGGCCATGGTGGGGGGGCAGGAGCCCCTCCTACACACACACACACACACACACACACACACACACACACACACCATCTCTCCTCACAGCTGCTGGGCTGGCCATACCATTATTAGAACCATACAGGTGATGATCATTAGGGCTGGGCGTGGACCACGGGCGAGGAATGCTGGGCAATCCAAGTGGTAGGATCGGCAGAGGCACAGAGAACAGACTGAAGGGCAATTCAGGTATGTCTTCCCTCCACCTTTTTGGAGGCTGGGAGGGAGGGGAGGCCTGGAAAGCCAAGCAAAGGAGGCGGGGGGGGTGGCGGGGGGGGCGCGGGGGACGTGCTGTGGGGCACAAGAGGCTTTGGGGCAGGGCTGGAGGCCAAGGAGGAGGAGTGGATTGCAGGTGGAGGGCTGCCGAGCCTGAGGACTGGGGCTGCCCCCAGCAGGAGTTGTCACCCAGGCGGGCACTGGACCCTCTGTGCCTCTGAACTGTGGTGAGATGATGGAGCAGAATCCGGTTGGCTTTGCCTTTCCCCCTGCTCTATGGTTGAGGCCAGAGAGAGGGAGAGACCCCTAAGGGCCACCTACCCTACAGCCCCTGACACCCCAACCTATTGATCCAGAAATGGGGGCTGAGATGTCCAGAGATTATCACTGGGCCCTAATGGTGGGGGCACTGAGTGGTCAGGA